TAGATGCATAGTAAGTAGGCTGTGAGATTATCGAAATAACTTTGAATATAATCATGGGAAGCCTGAACAGGATCTCAAAATCAGCTAGTCGTCCACCCTTGTTTTCTCGACTTATCGTATTCGGTACATTTTTTCTTAAATACAACTTTTTGCCACGAAGAACTCTCCTCCGTGTGGGACAAACGAAAGGTCAGCACGGATGTTTCGGAGGTGCAGGAAGGTGCTCCAAGGGCGTCGTTCTCGCGCAACCCAATTTCATTTAAGATGATGAAGGACTGGTAGAAGAAGAATTTTTCATCCATCCCCTTAAACGAAATTGAGTGAATACATCTTATATTACTGATTTACTGGCAGTCACGAAAGCACTACTTAATTCAACCTAAAGTAGTCCACTCCAAAGTGCCACGAAGACTTCCGATAGAAATAGAAACTGATGTCACTATTTATTCGTCCCATTTAAGTAGTACTGATTGTTTTTGACACAAACACACCCTGATTGCATGCACCGTGAAATTTTGTTTCATAGACGCCCCCACCCGACACTAGTGCCTGTTATTGTATGTATGTATGTATGTATGTGTGCGAGTGGTAGGATAAATGTGAAGAGGTGTGTTTGTCCCATTTTGTGTAAGGTGATGAAGGAATGATAATTGAATTTCATCACAATCATTGCAGTTCACACAGCCTTTCTACCAAAAAGCCATTCTCACCCCCGACTGGAGTGTACTAGCGTCACGAACTTGCCCAAACTGACCTCATCAGCACCCCGAGCGGGACTCGAACCGGGACGATTCCATGTGAAATCTCGACACATTAACCATGCATCATATCACACTCTCTGGTACAATTGTCAATGAAGCAAAGCCTCATTTGCCATAGCTTTTGACGTACAGCTCAATTATGTGATTTACTGGCAATCTCGAAGTCCCATTGAAGAAAGGAAAAACACGAAAGGAGAAGCTGGATTGCAGAGAATCCCTTCGTGATGCCCGGCCTCTACTTATCGTTTTGCCAAAGTCCCGTCCTGGCACACAGGCCTTCGGAGCTCCGGTACCAAAGCCGCGGCCCACCCCTCCGTCCGGACCCTCAAAGCGACCAATCATACGCTGTTGCCTGGCCTGCATTTCGCTGTCTCTCATCGTCTCTCGCTCTTTGCTCTCGGTACTGTTATCCTTTTTTCGACACATTTTCTCGAAGCCTCATGCCACGTCTGGCCTTCATACAAATGCCTACAATTACACACACCCCCTCCTTCACACACGAGCACTCTTTCACCCCAATGTGTCTATATGCACTCATGTGGAGACACTTGCTGATGGAGAATTGCACACGCAAGCATTCATATGCATCCATTCCGGCATGTGCACGCATTCGGTCAGCCGCTTTTTCATACATACACACACACACACACACACACATGCACACATGCACACACAAAGCTGCTCATAGAGACGCAACTATTCACATGATGTCTTGGCATGCTTGGCAAAAAAGCGGCAAACTACCAGCTGGTGTGTGTGAAACCGGTTTGGGAGAACAACAGGTCTCGACTGTTCTCGTTTCGTTCCGGTTTAGACTCAGTGATTGATGGCAGATCAGGTTACGTTCACATGCCTACTCGCTTGAGTCGGGTCTACCGAGGCTGGCATCGATTCAGTCGGCTCCACAGTTTCACGCTCCAATCGGCGAGTCGTAGCAGACTCCGCCGTCTCAGGCATGGCGTCATCTTGGCGACACTCGGTACCGAAGTAGGCCGTCGAGCTGCCGCCGACCTGCCTCTGGCCCGCAAAAACGGGACTCGGAGACACGCTGTGCGCTCAGCACAGAGTCGACATGGGCGTAGACAGGTCTCGAGCAGTCTCGCAAGACCACAGTTTCGTGTGAAAGTCGGTGCTGCTCGGCTGCTCAGAGCTACGCAGTCGACGAGATCGTTTCCTTCAATTCGGAGGCAAATGGGCTAAACGTACGTCCATCGTCATAAATGGACGCACACATACTCAAGTATGAGTACTCAGATAAATAGGGAGATGGATAGATACTGATTTGGTTAGTCTTTTCTCATATTAATTTGAGTACTTATACTTGAGTGTGTGTTTATATATTTATATATATATATATATATATATATGATGTTAATTGGCAAAAACGGAAATATACACACACAAAAAAAATATATATATATGTCTGTATGCCTCTCTTTCCTCCTTTTTATCCATCTATCCTTTAGCTATACATCTATAGCTGCATATTTCGATTTTTGCCAATTAACCTCATGTGTATATATATATGTATATATATATATATATAGGTAAGTAGATAGATAACGATTTGGTTAGTCTTTTCACCTATTAATCTGAGTACTTATGCTCAGAACTTACTGGGACATTCTTTTCAACGCTCTTCCTTCGATTCCAGTTAAAAACGTACTCGCCTTTCTTTCTTCTCATGACGAACATCATCAGAGCATGGTATCATCCTTACAATCATATTCAGGTTAATGAATCAAGAAAACTCACTGGCTCATTCTTATATATATATATATATATATAGCTATACAACTATAGCTGTATATTTCGGTTTTTTCCAATTAACCTCATATATAGATAGATAGATAAATAGATATAGATATAGATATAGATATAGATATAGATATAGATATAGATATAGATATAGATATAGATATAGATAGATAGATAGAAAAAAAGAAAGAAAGAAAGAAAGATAGATAGATAGATAGATAGATAGATAAGTAGATAGATAGATAAGTAGATAGATACTGTTTTGGTTAGTCTTTTCTCCTATTAATCTTAGAAAAGAGAATTAGTGTTTGTTTATATACATATATATATATATATATGATTTTAGGTGGCAAAAACCGAAATATACAGCTATATATATCTTTGTATGCCTCTCTTTCCTCCTTTTTATCCGTTCTATTCCTCTGCTATACATCTATAGTTGTATATTTCGGTTTTTGCAAATTAACCTCATGTATATATATATATATATATAGGTAAGTAGATAGATAAGAATTTGGTTAGTCTTTTCTCCTATTAATCTGAGAAAAGAGAATTTATATATATATATATATGAGGTTAATTGGAAAAAACCGAAATATGCAGCTATAGTTGTATAGCTAAAGGATAGATGGATAAAATGGAGGAAAGAGAGGCATAAAGACATATATATATATATATATAGCTGTATATTTCGGTTTTTGCCAGTTAAAATTATATATATAGATAGATAAGTAGATAGATACTGTTTTGGTTAGTCTTTTCTCCTATTAATCTGAGAAAAGAGAATTAGTGTTTGTTTATATATTTATATTTATATTTATATATATATATATATGATTTTAACTGGCAAAAGCTGAAATATACAGCTATATATATGTTTGTATGCCTCTCTTTCCTCCTTTTTATCCGTTCAATTCCTCAG